TGCTTCAGTCAGTCATTTTCTACTTTGATTTTAAATTTGTACTATTACTAACTATTTTTAGTTTTTTTTTTCCTTTGAAATATAATTGATTAATCAAATTTTCTAGTAAAAATGAAAATCCACTATACTTGTTGAACAAATGTAAAAGACTTGAGATCTACACTTTTGAAGTATGCGATGTCCCTTTCCCTTTTAAGTTTTCTTGCGAATTCTTTGTCTAGATTGTGTATGCAAAAGACTTGCATAATAGTCGTAAGACTCTTGTAACAATTAACACGTAGACATAAATCTTTCAAAGTTATAAGCTCAGGTAGAACTGATTTTTAATCATTATAACTTAACATGTTTTTGTTTTTTCTCGTTTAATTTATGAAAAGACTCAAGCACCATAGGAATATTTTATTTCAAGAAAACGAAAGGTGGGGATTTTGGTATTTGAGCTTCCTCTACATCTGCCAAACAAATATGTTTTACAAGGGAAAAATATACTTAATTTTAGGGATAATTTGCTTTAATTTTTAATTTTTCTTTGGTTATACACCCCTTAATTTTATTCTGTACGTAACATTTCTTTTTTCATACTGTTTTGTGTTTATTGCAGTCCAAGTAAGAGATGAGGTCATTGATTGGTTGAGTTTTATAAACGGTCTAAATATTCATTTGTGTCATTAATTTTTTTTGTATTAGATGCTTTCTTGGTTTGATTGTGTCATTAATTTTTGTATTATATAAATTTTTGTGGGATGTATAAATCACAGTTGACATTGGCGACAAAGAGCCCATCTATAAAGTTATGCCCAAAGGTTTATATGCTGAGGATATGAGAGCAAATATAGAGAAGGAGCTTAGAGGACTTGTGTATGGAGGTGTAGATGGTGACATCCAAATTATTACCAACTTGTGTATGGAGGTGTAGATGGTGACATCCAAATTATTACCAATCCTCGATCAATCAGAAAACAACTGATAAAACAAATGGGCTAAAGAGGTTTCAATATTTTCATTGTGAAACATATTACATAAAGTAAGTAATATTTTCTAAACATATTACACAAAGTAAGTAACATTGTCTTAATGTTGAATTTCTAAAATATGTGAAAAGACCAATTGATGAAGACTTTTAATTGTCTTTTAAATCCTCAGAGAATAGACCAAGTAAAGACTTCACGGATGTAAGAATCGGCCAATTGGTGCATAAATAGTGCATTGAACAACAATATCTAAACCCAATACTCCTTATTTCTAACGATGACAACCTTACTTCCACGATGAGACGCTTAGCTTTCCTTGTGTATTAGATAATTCTAGCTCATGGTGTCGATGCTCCGCCCGAGCTTAATCTAGCTCCTACATGAGCATTTTCTTGGGATTTTCTAGTTTGTGGTCAAGATTTAGCCCTGTTTTTTGGTAATTTAGTCCCATCAACCATCAGTCCAAACATTACAATCAATCAAGGTGTTCTTTCACTTATCATTTTCGTGTCTTCTAATCTTCTTCTTGAAATCAGTGGTTTTAGACTTAACATGCTTCACACATAACATGCTTTTGAATTCAATTATTTTTTCTTCTTGGTTTTTTTTGTTTGTAGGCTCTAATTGATCTTGAAAACGGTGGAATCCCGCGCCATTATTCCCCTTCTGATGTTCTAATGAACATGAGGGAGTATATGTATCAACGCGGCTTTCTTGTTCATTCCATTGTCATATACGCTTGTGAGACTACTTTTCCTAAGAGATACTTGGACTCATTCGATCTAATAGACGGTGTCAACGTTGTTCGAGTTAAAAAAACCTTAGGTAACAAATTTGATTTTTAATCACTTTTAACTTATCATGGTCATTTTCCTCATCTAATTTAATTTTTGTGTATTTTTGTAGGTGAAACACGAGATGACGCCGACTATGCAATGAAGGCCGAGATGAACAATTGGGGGTTAGAACGTCTTCCTCCGGCGCCAATGTTTATCGTCACTTCGGACAAGGATTATGTGAAAACCATCCAGATTTTGAAGAATCGCGGGTTCCAGTTCTTAGTGGCCTATCTCGATCATAGTGTCGGTGCCGAAATTCGATGCGTGGCCGATTTCGTTGATTGGCGCAAAGTAGCCCTCGGTCATCTTCTCATCATTGATGCTAGCAACATGCCTAAGGACCAAAGCAAGTCTCCGCCGAAGAGGCTACTTCCCCCATCTCCGCCTCCACACTCTTCTCTCGTAAAGGTTAGTTGACTTTTATAAACGTGTCTAAATATTCATTTGTGTAACATTAATTTTTGTATTAAAGGTTTCGTTGGTTTAATTTTGTCGTTAACTTTTATATTGTATAGGTTGTGTGGGATGTACAATCCACGCTTGACATTGACGACAAAAGGTCCAAAGTTATGCCCGATGATTTAAGTCTTGAGGATATGAGAGATAACATTGAGAATGAGCTTCATATGCTTGAGTATAAAGGTATAGATGGAGACATCCAAATTATCACCGAGGCTCAATCAATGAGTACTGATCAATTGATACAAAAAACGAGCTACTAAAGAAGCTACAATGTTTGTACTGAAAATGAACTAGAGGTACTTTTTGTCTTAACTAAAGTTATAACATTGTTAATTAGCCATTTAGATTACTAGCTATATGTATTTATAGATTCTCAATTTTTATAAAAGAATTACTGTCTTGTTACTTTTTTCCTACTTTCTAGAAAGTCAGTTTGTAAATATTTTTCAAGAAAGTAAGTAGAGGAAATATTATTCATCAATTGGTCTTTTAACGTACTATGAAATTTCACTAACTAATAAAACAATGAAAAAGATATTACTTACTTTTGGTAGGACGTCTGACAGTAGAAACATTGTAGCCTCTTTCGTAGCTCATTTTTTTATCAATTGATCAGTACTCATTGGTTGAGCCTCGGTGATAACTTGGATGTCTCCATCTACACCTCCATACTCAAGCATTCTAAGCTCATTCTCAATGTTGGCTCTAATATCCTCAAGAGTTAAATCATCGAGCATAACTTTAGACCCTTTGTCGCCAAGGTCAAGCGCGGATTCTACATCCCACACAACTTATACAATATAAAAGTTAATGACACAATATAATTAAACCAACGAAACCTTTAACACAAAAATTAATGACACAAATGAATATTGGACACGTTTATAAAAGTCAACTAACCTTTACGAGAGAAAAGTGTGGAAGCGGAGATGGGGAAGTAGCTTCTTCGGCGGACACTTGCCTTGATCCTTAGGCATGCTGCTAGCATCAATGATGAGAAGATGACCGAGGGCTACTTCGCGCCAATCAACGGAATCGGCCACGCTTCGAATTTTGGGGCCCGCACTGTTATCGTCAGATTTTCCTGAGATGCCAATCAACAATCTCCAAATCCAAACATAACCAGAATTGGTTTATAATAGTTAACCAAGTGAAAATACAAGTTTATAAGATAGAAGAAACTGTTATGAATAAGAGAAAGAGAGAAGGAATTGTGTTGTGTTATTCCATGAATAATACA